GCGCCGACGCTGCGGCAGCTGCCAACAGTTTGGAGGCTACTGCAGCAGACAGTAACAGACTTGCGCCGGCTGCGGGCTTTGAGGGACAACAAGGAGCTGCTGCTGCTGCTGCAACGGGCTGCAGCTACGCCGCAGCCTTCGCCTGCTGCTGCAGCAGCAGGTGCAGCAGCGCCATCCACTAGTGCTGCTTCTGCCGCATCTTTCCAGGAGGAGCAGCGGAGCGCAGCAGCAGCAGCCGGTGCTTCGACTGCAGCACCAGCTGGTGCAGCAGCTAGCTCCGAGGCTGCGGACGGCGGAGACGCAGCAGCAGCCGCTGCGGCTGCGGCTGCTGCAGCGGTGGTGTCCCCAGAGCTTGCTGGGTGCAGCGATGCAGTGCAGCCATCGCTGCAGCAGCTGCTGCAGCAGCTGCAGCAGCTGCTGCATGCGATCAGCAGCTTTTTGGCACATGCGGAAGGTCTTCTTGTGGAATTGTCGGCTTCAGAGGATCCAACAACACCGGCACTAGAAACTCTTTTCTCAATGCTGGTGCGCTTTTGCTGCTGCTTCTACTGCTGTTGCTGCTGCTGCTGCTGCCACTGGTGTTGCTGCTGTCATCGGCGCAGCCGGCTTGGCGGTTGTTGCTGTCACTGACTGGCCGTGTCTTGAGGAAAGAGGCTCTGCTGGGTTCAGAGTTTAGGGTTTAGAGTTTAGGGTTTAGGGTTTAGGGTTTGGGGTTTAGGACTTTCGTTAATGGCTAGATCATGGTGTGTGTGTTTCGGTGGCGGCACAGCCTCCACTTGTAGAGCTGCACTGTTTCATCGAGGAGGAGATCAGCAACAGCAGCAGCAGCAGCAGCAGCAGCAGAAGTGGTCTTCCGCCGTGGCTGCTGGCGCTTCTGGACTGTGCGACGTCTCCGAGGCTGTCTGTTTGCTGCAGAGCAGCACAGACATTTATTTCAATCTTGAAGAGCAGCAGCAGCAGCAGCAGCAGCAGCAGCAGCAGCAGCAGCACCTGCAGCAGGAGGCACTTGATTTGTGAAACCGACGAGTGTATGGTCTGTTGCAGCTGCCTGTGCACCCGACACCCTGACGCAATGCTACTTGCTGCGGCCATTTCGCAGCTGCTGCTGCTGTTGTTGCCGTAGCTGCTGCTGCTCTAGCTGCCGCTGCAGTAGCTGCTGCTGCGTCACGCTGTGTGTTGCTGCTGCTTTTGTTGGCGCTGCAGCGCGTGGCGGCTACGCTGTGGGACTGCTTAGGCAGCAGCAGCAACAGCAGCAGCAGCAAAGCAGAAGGGCTCATTGTGGATCTTCTGCTGCAGCTTAACGATGCGTGTCTTCCTGAAAGACCGGTACGTGCATGCAGTCGCATGTTGCTGCTGCTGCTGGAATTGGTGGTGCAGTTGGCTTGCTGCTGATCTGAGCAGCAGCAGCAGCAACAGTAAGTGCAGCAGCAGAAGTGGGCAGCGGCTGCTGCTGCCTTTTGCTTTCTGCAGGCTGTAGTCGAATCGGTGATTCTGGCGGGCCTTCAAGGCGGCAGCAGCAACAGCAGCGGCAGCAGCAGCAGCAGCAGTAGCAAGGCAGAGAGTATATGGAGGTTCAGCGCCTTCTGGAGGCACGCGCGGCTGCAGGTCTACAGGCCTTTGGGTTTGCTGCTGCCGAATGCTGTGTTGCATCTCCTTGCTTCCCTCGGCGACGCGTTTCCTGATATCCGGTGGGCTTGCTGCTGCTGCTGCTGCTTCTGCTGCTGCCGCTGCTGCTGCCCCGTTCTGCGTCGGCGTTTTTCTGGTTCTGATGCCGTTGCTCATCTTCAGCCTTTGTATGCTTTTCCTGCTGCTGCTGCTGCTGCTGCAGGTATGCAGCACGAGTGTTCGTGCGGCTGGGCCTTGACACGGCGCCGCAGCTGCTGCGCCCCGTCTTTGACTGCATCCTGAGCGCACCGCCTCCTGTGCAGCTGCAGCAACTGCAGCAGCAGCAGCAGCAGCAGCAGCAGCATGGGGCATTGAAGGGACGGCAGGAGCAGCCAGGTCTGCAGCAGGCGGCTCTAACCGAGCAGCAGCTGCAGGTGCAGCTGCTGTCGCAGCTGCAGCACCGGATGGAGGAGGAGGCAGCTTCTGCTGCAGCAGCAGAAGCGACTGCTGCTGCGCACCGCGGGCTGGAGCTGCTGCAGCTGCTGCTGCAGTTCGAGGGACCCCTGCTGCTGGAGCGCATGCAGGACTTTTATGTCGAAGAAGACCTTCTGGAAGCAAATGCCATGCAGGCGCAGCTTTGGGCAGCAGCAAGTGGGGCCCGGGGCCCCCGAGGTGGGTTTCAGCTCTGCAGCTGCAGCAAAGTGTACACACGCCCCAGCAGCAGCAAAGTGTGCATGCAGCGAGGCAGCAGCAAGCCAGCTGCCGGCTGCAGCACGAGGCCTGGGCAGGGATTGAGGGCGTGGCTGGCTGCTGCTGAGTGCGGCTGTGCGGCGCAGGCAATTCTGCAGCAGACTCGGATGCTGCAGCAGCAGTGGCGGCGGGAGCAGCAGCAGCAGCAACAGCAACGGCAGCAGCAGCA